GGTCCCTCTCCGGTCCCGGTCCCGGTCCTCCGTCGGTTACGGGCCGGGCCGGGCCCATTTGGCCATCTCTAGCAGATATAAGTATATCGGAGAGGTTGTATGATGTGTTTTAAATTTATACCGCAAGCGTACGGGGGTTGTAGATACGGGTTGATCACAAAGAGCAATGATTTAAGTACTAATTATGCTATAAGTCATAACTAGTTACGTGAATAAACATCATATAGGGTAATTAACAACTACGACACAATATCTTAACAAAGCGGGTAAGGAATGTGGAATCAATTGCAACTTAGGAACTATTTGACAGTTACTGAATAGTTTGGTGCAAAATGATTAAGTGATCAAGGTGTTTAAGAGGCTCTTTATAATATAGTGCAAAATGAAATATAATTGTTTGGTAATTATTCAGAATGAAATTAGGGTGTTGAATGGTTAAGGGAGGTCCAAGATACAAATCATTCAGAAAATTTTAGAAACATTAAGAGACAGACTTTTTTTTGTTCAACAAGATTCACCTATTAACGATTCAGAGACTGTATTTTAATGGAACTATTAAGTGATTAGCTTATCAAAGGGATTATTCATCACAATTTATCACTAAATATACGATTATCAAATAGTCATCACTTGTTGGATAAAGGTTTAAAATTGTGATCGGAAAAAAAGGAAACATATTTTAGTTAATATATGATTATATATGTTAATAAGATAAGGATGTAAGAAAAAAAATGAAAAAAATAGGAAATATAAATAAATTAAATAAATAAAAGTAAAATTGTAAGTATTAAAAATAATTTTGTAATATATATGATATATAATAACATGATTAGATCCAAAAAATATTTAATATCAGACTCATTATAAAGGTATTTACGTTTGTGTTATAATGGTGTAATTTATTAAAAAAAAAACATATTCGTTAACGTATTTCATTTAGTATACGATTATATATATTAATATCATAAATGTGTAAAATGAAAAAAATAGAAAAATGAATGATATAAAGTAAGTTAGCTTATCTATACTATATTATAAATCATTTGACAAAAACTCTTAAAAACCACTTTTTATGCGTAAAGTATTGTTTATTAATGCATATTACTTAAAACTCAAGATTACGAGTAGATTGTGCGTAAGTATAACTTATTAAAGCTCCATATCTGAATTCGTGTAACTAACTTCAGATAAACATAATCAAATACAAAATAAACATCTCATTTTGAATATAAAAAATCTAAAATATAATTAGGATAATCATTGAGTTATAACAGAATACTTAATTATTATATTTATAAAATGTTATATTATTAAACAAAAAATAAATTATTTCGTTACTAAAACTCAAATAAGTTATAAAAAAATAAATTAAAGAAATTACATAAAAAATGAGAACTTTTAAATAGTTGATTTGATATTAACATTGATATATATTTTTTTTCAAATTTATATTTTATTCAAAAATAAAATCATTATTGTTTTATTAAAAACACATAAAATCGTATTATAACATCGACAAAGACAAATAATAAAATAGAATATTAAAATCGAGATGTGTCTCGTTGCATTATGCGAGTAATCTTCTAATAATTATAAAAATGTAAATTGTAATTTTAAATTAAAAATGATGAAATTGACCGAGTTAAATTGTTTGTGAGGGGAGTAGGTGGATAAAAAGTGTTACGTTTAGCAACCCCCTTGAAATTAATATCTATATCTATACCATCTTATTAAGCAAATTTAGCAAAAGTCTTAAAGTCTTAAAATACTAAATGACCAAGATACTCTTACTCTCTTTTTCACCCCCTCCTCTCCTCACATACTCTCAACCTCTCACATTTTTTTAAATTATAATTTTAAATTTACACTTTATACCCCTATAATTAGTTAATTAATTTACTTTACGTTATTTACTTTTAAATGTTTCATTTTAAACMTTTATCAAATTAACATACATAATCGTATATCAATTAAAACATATTTAAAAAAATACATTTTTATTTTAGCAAGTTACACAATTATAATCGTCTTGTTAATACCTTCGAAATGAGTCCAATATTGAATAGTTTTTGACTTAATTATATTATTATATATTATATATACTGTAAAAAAATATTTTTAATATTTACAATTTATACTTTTATAGTTAATTATTTAATTTATGATACATCATTTATTTTTACCCCATTATCACATTAAAATATATTAGCTAAAATACATTATACTTAATTTATTTATTTTTAAAATTTATTTTTACACTTTTATCACATTAACATACCTTAATCTGAGTTTCTGGACAAGAAAGAGGGTAAGTAGTTGAAATTTCATTCTAAAACCCATCGTTTCTGGTCTTTTTATGGCTTATGATTTGTGAAATTTGTAGTTTTCTTTATTGGCTTTGAGTGTTTATCTTAAAACTCAAGTTTCATGGTTCTTTGCTCTTAGTGTAAATCGAACATATTTTGTGGAGTCATTTAAATATGTTGGATTTTAAATATATTGAATTTTAAACTGTCATACAATTTTTTTCATCGATAGTCTGTAATTGGAACCATAACTCTTATTTATTCAAATTGTATTAATATGTAAAGACCAAGTGTAACATATATCATCGTTAAATCTTATCTTATAAAACCAGTGGAACTTCAAAATCGTTAAAATTCAAGGTTCCCGCCGCATTGTGCGGGTACACAACTAGTTAATTAGTAAATTGAAATGAATATTAATTATTAAATAAATATAATTAATTAATGAATACTAATATTAATTAATAACTTATAATAATAATAATAATTAATGATAGTTAATATTAATGAGAATATAATTAGAAAAAAGTGTCAGTAAACTATTAAAAAGTTACTTTAACTGATGTTTCAATAATCTAGTTTATATTATTATCCATACATGTACTTAAAAAATAAATTAATATATAAATTAATTTATATTTACCAAACAATACTTTAATATGAGATCATAACAACTTTAAGAAGTCGATTGTATTTTGTAGATTATTTTGTAATTGGATCAAAAGGAACTTTGGTCCACTAAGGTGCCGTTTACCAAACGTTTAGCCGAGTATACGTTTACCAAATCACTTTACTTTACCGGATGAATATGACAAGGACTAAAAATCTTACCCGGTATGAACGAATGCAAGAATCGAGAGTCTTACCCGGTAAATGAGGACGATGTCTCTTACCATGGTTAGCGTTTACCGGGATAAATTATCGCATACAATGCGTAGTGAATAAAATCTTAACCGGTAAGTAAGCGATAGTGTTGAATTTTACCGATAAATACTTACCTGATAAGTGTTGAATATAAGATATATATTAACAAGATAATTATTGTGAATCTAAATTAAAATCTAATAATTAGATAGTGTTATGTTTTGTATGCTTTAATTATTTTGATTTTAAAGAATAAAAAAATATAAATTTTATTAAATAAGGTAGTTATTTTTGGGAAAAAAATCCAAAAAATCTTCTCATTTTGAATGAGTTAGTGTATAAACTATTTTTTTTAATGAAAAACCATTAAAATTTCTTATTTTGAATGATTAAGTTTTTGAACTGTTTTTTTTTAATGAAAAACCCATTAAATTTTTTACATTTTGAATGATTAAGAACTTGATTTTTTAAAAATAAATAAACTATCAAACTTTTATTAGTCGATTGACGTAACTTTTTTTGGATTAAAAAGATGTAGATAACTAATTTTTAAAATTGTGATGGTTTATTTACTAAAAAAAATGTCCAGTGACTTAATCACTCAAAATAAAAAAAAAATTAATGGTTTTTTTAATTCAAAAGAGAAAGTTTTCATTCAGAAAAATAATTTATGGATTTAATCATTCAAAATGATAAAGTTTAATATTATTTTATTAAAAGAATTCAAAAACGTAATCATTTAAAATGATATAGCTTGGGGGTGCTTGTTTAAAGTGTTTATTAATTTATTTGTAACAACCCCAAATCCATACATTGCATATAACACATATTTCATACATAGAATACATGTTTTCCCCACAAAGGTTCATAATACAAGAGTCTATAACGTGAAATACATAACTCAAAAATTCAAAAAGTACATGCTCTTGTATCCTAGCATCTATGCTCCAAAAACATAGTTAATTAAGGTCTTCACACAGCTAAGCACATAGGGAAGTAATTCACATGATGTTTTTTCCCTTATTATCATTATCTGCACACATATTTTTGAAAACACAAAAATGAGGGTTAGACATGTATGTCTAGTGAGGTTCCCTTTTTATGTAATGMAKGGTGAAGATCACCAAAACATTAATTTCAGATAATTCATTCCATGTAGTAAAGGCTGAAAATCGTATTCTGTTTCAAAACACTTTTAATCAAAATCAATGACCA